ATGTGTATATTATATACATGTATGTATAAGCATACTTTGTTTCTGTCGCTTCTGTTCCCACTAAAAAGTTATAAATGTGCGACATATGGAACATGATGGTGCCACATATAACGAAATATGGTCAATTATTGTGCCACTTATAACAACATATGGTCAATGATTGTGCCACATATAACGAAATATGGTCAATAATTGTGCCACATTTAACGAAATATGGGCAATAATTGTGCCATATATAACGTCATATGGTCAATAATGGTGCCACATTTAACGTCATATGGTCAATTATTGTTCCACATATAACGAAATATGGTCAATTATTGTGCCACGTATAACGAAATATGGTCAATAATGGTGCCACATATAACGAAATATGATCAATATAACGAAATATGGTCAATTATTGTTCCACATATAACGAAATATGGTCAATTAATGTGCCACGTATAACGAAATATTAAATCAAATAACGAAATTGTAATTTTGTATCACTAAAGTTGGTTAATAATGTGCACAAACTTAATATGATCAATTTGTTACGAGGATAAAAAAGGTCGAATTACCATGTGTCTAGAATGTAAATCCGTATAAAAAACTGAATTTTATATCAACAGCAAAACGGATATAAAGTAAAATAGTGTCAAAAATACAAATACCTAAAATTACCTAACAGATGCAATTAAAATTATGTGTGTTTTCGGTAAGTAATAATTTTCATATTATTTTAATCTCTAATTGTTACGTGCCTTAATAAATATGTAGCATAAAAATGGAATTGTGAAACAGTATAATTTTAATTAAATTTGAAAATGAAGTAACAAATTGATATACATGTAGATGAGTACACTAAATGCTTAAAATACATTTTTTTTCAGTACAAATTTCGAGTAAAATTAATATATGTCACTGTTTATATATTTCACGAAAAGTTCAAATCGAAATTAATAAATTAAATTGTTTACATTGGACTTAATGTTTACGTTATATCTGAAACTTCCGACGGGAATATACACGTGTAAATCATGTCGAAGAAGAAGAAAGATCAGAAGAAGAAAAAGAAGAAGAAAAGAAAAAGTACGTATCTATAAGAAAGCATAACTTAGTCTAATGGGTGAAAATTATTAGTAAATACGTTGTACAAACATAACCGTCCTGTACATACATTTTTATTTTCAAGTGGATTCCCGTCCCTTTAGACAACTGTTGATAAAAAACAGACCCCTTTAAAACAGCTATGTAAATTTTGAACATCCTTTAGTTTCTAACGGAAAGAGCTACCTTAAAATGTTTGTTTTTGTTTATTTTTTACTCGGGGCTATTTAGTGCCATCATAATATGTAGCGTTTGTTTGCACCATCTTTTCTTCGCGAGTTTCACGTGCGTATTTTTACACGATATATCTCAGTAATTACAACCCTTTGAGCACGGATTATGTCGGATCTATTTTATTTGAAGTAATGTACAAATATATTGCTGTCGACCATTTTTATGCGGTGGGAACATGTGTACAACACATTCGCCATACTGAATATGTTCATAAAATGAGTAAAAAATTATGTTGAATAAACCACAGGCGTTCGGCACATTTGCCGTGCCAATAATGGTCAAATTGTCATAAAATAATCACCCCTTGATCATCAAGAACAAAATTACTATCCAGCACCCGTTTACTAAGATTTGACCATTACTGGCATGGCAAATGTGCCGAACGCATGTGACATTGACCAGTATCACAAAATTTTATGGATATTTTTTCTTTTTTTTCCTCAGTGTATTGTGGATTGCCGGTTCTATTTCTAAAAATACTTCACAAAAATCCAAAAGATTATAAATGTTTGTTGATTGTCACGGCACATGTTATGGAAATAAACCACAGAAAGTATTAAATAAGTACAAAAATGCACAAAATATTACGATATCATTATGACATTGGAAACGAAAAATAGAATTATAATGAAAATGACTGAATATTCTTTTAGCAAATGTATACAATATACAACATGTACGAGAAAATTACGTATATTGTTTTATGCGGCAAAAATAATAGAGCAAGATTTTCTGAGGGGTTGGGTTTTACGTCGCACCACCTCTACCAGGGTCATATGACAACGTTACAGTTGTACCGGTAGAGGTAGGCCCTAGACCCGCTGCCTGTGGAATAATTTGGGGCACGAACGAGCACCTGAGTGGAATGACCGGGCTGGATAAATTACTCACATGAAATGATTAAAAGTCCGTTGCGGAATCGTTATTATTATCATTATTGTCACTTTAATTATCACTTTTTATCATCATCAACATCATCATTATCACTTTTTAGAATGATATTGGAAGATAATTGTTTAAGCATTATTATTATTATTATTATTACAACTTATTATGACGATCATTATTTCATTTCATTATCACTATCATGACTACATTAAAGTTATCATTAGATAAATCATTTTAATATTATCATTAAAGGGACTGCACTGAGGATTGTGACATACCGTGACTGGAAATAAATTTTTTTTAAGATACTTGTCACATTACATTAATGGCTGGACTAATAACTTGTGTGCAATATTTCTCACTCAGTTTTCCGGAACAATTATTTAAATCGTTCAAAATGACACACAAAAAAAGGGAAAAGCGTTTTATGAATTTAAATCCAACTGGGCACAAAAACAAATCGATTTTTAATCTAATTCTCATAAAACTTCTTTATCTTTTGTATATTTTTCAGGTGAGGCTATGAAACAGTTTCAACTTTTATGTTCCTTTATTAATACCATTTATTTTGTATTAAGTAAAGTATTTATGTATATATAGATATTGTAACAACAGAACATAAGCTTTACAAAACATAATGTGAACTTTAAAAAAATCATGTGAACTTTAAATAAAAAGACATATTGTAATGAACATCTAAAAGAATTAAATTAACATTTTAATATACTCGATGACATCATTGACTACGATGACGTCCAATATTTATTATTTTAGTCAACGTGGAAAATCATAGAGATTTCTGTAGCGTAGAAATTATACACACATAGATAATTAGTAAACAAAACAAATCACGTGACCGTTTTTCTCCAATCTCATTAATATTCATGTTGGGGCGAAGCTCATCTAATTAGCTAATTAGATATCCTTCCTTATCAAATATAACGCATTAAGAGTAATTTATTTAATTACATAGATTTCTATGCTGATTACTTTTATATGGGTCACATACGGTGTATAAAAACAATGGTGTATGGAGCAGCAAGGGTTAGGGGAACTATCACTTTCTTTCGCAGTATCTCTTCGCTTGTACGAAGATGTGATAGGGCAAAAATAGCATTTTACCGCACGTGCGTCACACGTGCGATTGATAGAAAAGTAATGTTCCTGTCCATTCTATATAAGCTAGAATATTATGCAAATATAAACTCTAAAAATTATTATTTTAAGATAGTATAAAAAGAAACTGAATGTTGACAAACATTATAGATTGAAAAGCATCCATATTGTCTGAAATGAAAAGCGTGTGAAAAGGCAAACAAATTGGGTTCCAGTGAATGTTTTTGATTCTATGCGAAAATGTATAAATATGTTTGTTTCATATCATATCATATCATATCATATCATATCATATATCATATCATATCATATCATATATCATATCATCATGTCATGTGTCAATTTAACTCTTAATATTAAAAAGAACTTAAAGAATTACGATGTATGCATTACAATATTTCCTACACCTAAACTAACAATTCCTAACACGACAAATGTACACTCTCGCCCCTACCCTAACGTTTCCCCGCCCCCATATCATGTCCGAATATTCTTACTATAGTATTTACCATTTTATAATAAATGGCATTAAAAATAAATCGCCAACCAAAATAAAATTGAAACCATAAATTCCTACTATACACAAAAACAGCTCTGAGAAATATTAGAAGCAAAGTATTTTCTATGCATGTGGTTATTTATCACTTTTGTTTTTACATTTATAAGTGCCTTCAAATCTCTCAACAGCTCGTTTTTCCCGTCCCAAAATTTTCAGAAGAATTAAACCAATTACAGAAATCATTATTCTTGGGGGTATAATTATATATGCCGTACAACACGACTGTTACTTTATCCCTCCCCCCCCTCAATTCCTCACAGACACAACACATCAAAAACAACATAAGAATTTACATTTTGTATTCTTTGTATTTGTAAAATTTTTGGATAATAAATTAAAAAGAAAAAAATGCCCTCATTGAAATAAAAGTCATGAAAAGACTTCATCTTTCAATTTGGACAAAACCATTTATTATATTTTAATAGGGAAAAAATAAAATATATGATGGCTGAATAGCGACCAGTGCAGATCATGATCAGACCTCAAGGATGTGCCGGTCGGTCATGGTCAGCACCGGACGCACGGTTTGCACCAGTTGCGGCCAGAAGATACGCTTAAGGAAAAAAATATGTTTTATTAACATTGTTATTATAGTTTACTTTATTATTATTTTTTAAATATAATAATTTCGTTATCCTAAATTGAACTGAATTAGTCCGTATATTTTTTTATTGATATACATTTATCTTATTTTAAGCTTATCATTTAATTAATTCATTTTTATACTTTTGTTTTGTTATAACTTTACTCAGATTATTCCAACATTGGTAATATTTAACCACATCTTCAATTTATAAATATGTAATTGGGCAAATAAATACTATAGAATATATTAAATAAACATAATTAATAAAGGATTATTCCAAAAATTTTGCTAACTATGCATGCCATGTAACAATTACTGTTTCTCCTTTTGAACAAAAAAATAAATAAATACACATCAGATACTTTAACTTGATGCTCGTACAAAAAATTATGACATCAACTTTAGCACCAGGTTGTCTTTTAAACTAAGTGCACTCTCCTTACATAAGAATTACCCTCAAGATCTCGTTACTGTATCATATATATGATAATTAAAAAGACATATGTCGCTCAAGGCAATACCTACCAGAGTTTGGATCATGTTGGTGCGAATCTTGGGGTTCCTCTTTCAGGCACTGCTCCTGTTGCATCTTTTGTTGTTGACCCATGAGATCTATCTCGTTGACCAGTGCTTGTGTATGTCCGTCCGTCTGAATTCCGCCGTTTGGCGAGTCCGGGGTGCAAGTTTGTGTAGGCAGCCCAGGGGATGGGTCCGTGTTCGCAAACATTGCACAGTTCTCGCTCGGAATCTCGCCTAAGTCCAATAAATGATTCACAGAAAAACTTCCTTTACTGTTTTGTAATGCGTTATGATAAGCCAACTTATCAAATGAACTGTACTGTCCGTCTCCCTGTTGTAGCATGGAATACACACTCATTTTGTGACTTTAACTATCTAAATCTTCCCCTCTTTTTTTACCTTTCCCTACCTTTTCCCTTAATTAGCTCCCGCAGTGAAAGAATGCCGTTTGGTATTCAAGCTTATTAGAAAACATAATATTTACTTCAGAATGATCACTCTCTGTCTCAAGGAAAAAATATTAAATCTATCTAACGTACGTCCTGTATTTTTGTTTTACTTTCTTTTCCTTTTTCTTCTTTAGGCTGAAAAGAATGATCAGCTGTCAAAAAAACATTAATTAGAAAATTCGATTTGATTTTCACAACTTAATCGTTTATACGTTATCAAGATTACGTTTGATGCCGTTAACGATTATAATATTCCCGCCTGCACGATTCCTCAACTTATAATAAATTCTGAATAAATGAACAGGTACTGTAAGTGAAAGCACTCAGTTCTTATTATCCAGTCAAAATCGCAGCGTCCCGTCTACACAGATTACGGATTCCAAGCGGCTGAAAGGATTCTGAACTAATTTGCTCTCGGCCAATCAAAAGTCTCCAATAGAACCGGGGGCGGCGACTAGTAATATTCGGTTAACCAATAAAAACTCACCTTCCAAAACGCTTACACTTTCAATTTCACAAAACAATATTGTTTGAATAACAAACTAAATCCGTCTATTTTTCTTTACTTAAAGATTAACTTAAAATATTAGTTTCAATAAAGTAATGAAAAGAGATGAGATGAGTCCTCTCAAACCGGTGCTATTCATTTTTGTTCGGTGTGGGTTTTATTCATATCAAACTGTTCTAAATTTAACATTGGATATTATATTATACAGACTCATCATCAAGTAATACATCCGAATTTTTCTAACAACATTAATCACCTTTTCAAATGACTTATCGACATTCTTAATAAATTGTTAAAAACGACCAAGAAATTAAAAGTTCAAAAAGTCTAGGATATAATGTGAATTATGAAATGTCCCAGAAATAGCTAACTATTTAAATCATGGCTGTTTTAAGTTTCGATTGTTAAATATGTGAAACAATAGTAACTATATGGATTCATTGTTATATTTTGATTATCAACTGTAAATATCCAAATTGGTCACTTTATTCAAAGGATTTACAGTTCCGCAGTCACATGACCTAAGTTTAGTTTACGCCCTTTACTGTAATCTTTTTTCCAGGTACAGTGTAAGGGGGTGTGGAAGGGGGGGGGTCAGACCAGCCTGCACTGCCCTGCACACTGATCAGATTTCAAACTATGGGTAGCTTATTTTTTCACTTAATACTAAATAGAGAAATCCCGGTAATGGCATAGTATTGATATAATGACAGATATAATATATATAAATTGATTCACTTTTTATTTACTTAAGATGTGTGCAAAATGCAAACTCTCACAATACACAAACATTCAAAAACAAACGTGTATCATTTACATATATCGTGTATATCGTAGTGAAGTATCATACAATGATACAAATAGTTTTTTTTTATTTAGAATTGTATTAAGAATAAAACAGAATTGAAGAAAATAAAGTAACGATAACATTAAGTTAACAATTTTCTCATATTATGCCTGAAGAGCCGGTTAAAGTAAATTCTCTGCGTTTAAGATTTTGTGATATAAAATTAGCCAAATTTTTCAAAACCGTTTTGATCTCTGTAAACCATAAAAACATATATATTTATTTTAATTTTCCTGTTTGTTTGCATTATTATAATGTTTATATGAAATAACAATACATTAGGGTGTGTACGCGTCCTAGAAGTTAAGTTTAAAGCTGCACACCTCATGTTAAGCCAAACTATTTCAAGAATAAGAAACTTTAAGATTTAAGTTTTCGGTAATAATTTTCATGTTATGTGCAATTAATAACTGATTTGTCAATATTTATCATCATATTTCATGACAAACCGGTATAGTAATGGCTATTTTTTGCATATTTTGACATTTTTTCAGGTAATTCACGTGGACTGTAAGTGTTTGCTATGTATAAATTTCTTTCTTTGCTCACTTCACAATATTTTACTTTTAAATACATTTTTAAAATTTTCATGAAAATTAGTTTGAATCTGGAGACATGCTGCTTTAAATATATCTATTCTAGCCTGTTTGTATTGAAATTCATAAACCCTTTTACCCCTTTTTCAAGTCAAAAAAGTTTTAAATCTATCTAGTTTCACTCAAGATATTCGGAAACATTGCCGAGTGTGCGATTCAAGTAGGGCTCGAACCCATGATCCCTAAGTTGAGAGGCAGATCCCTTTACTACTAGCCCACCGCTCACCTTATACGTGTAATAAAGAATCAGAAAAAAATCAGGCCATGTACAAATAAAAGATATTCAACATTATTATACAGTTGATAAGTCTACAACGGGCATATTTCACTAAAGGATAACAAATAGAATTGTATCATTTGGATATTTTTAGAAACAATTTCTTGAGAAATAAAATGTTGATATAGTTTTAAGTGATTTACAATCAACATTTATATAATGTATGGTATTTTTATCTGCAACAATTTATTATCTGCTACATAAAGATTTGAATTATCGGATAAATATATCTCACATGCACTTACGAACAACATCCATACAAGATTCGTTCAGGCTGGGTTGTCAAGTGTTACACTTAATACTTACAACGTAACTTACTGTTAATGGTACTACGGATCTTATATACCAAACCCAATGAAATATTTAACTTATTTTATCAAAGAACTTCTATATGAGTTTTCTGTGTGTATTTTAAGTGAACTGAATGCGGGTTGGTGGATGTTTGTAGATTACCCTATGGACCGACAGTAAGCCACAATGAATTCACTACAGCACAACTCCCGGCCACCGCATCGTTCCTGAACAAGCTGTCAAGCAGTAAACCAATAACAGCTCTTTGCCTTCACTTTCACAAGGAACTGCCATGCCAGAGGATCGGTACAGTGCGAGTTACCGTAGAAAGGAGTTTATGAGCAACCACAACGAATGCGAGTTGCACCGTCCCGGAATAGAACACGGGTCCCCAGTTCTTAGTCCAACGCGTTATCATAACGTCCATTGAGCTAACCAAGCGACACACGGGTTCGCAGGGGATAACTCTTTAGAATAATGAGTTGGTATGCCGTTGTCGTCGCGTCATAGATTTCATAACTAATCGATTAATTATCCAACCACCAGAAATAATGATTGAAGTTGTATGAATTCATACATACTGTTAACATTTGAGACATAAACATTGAAGTTAATAAAAAAAAGGAATTACTACAATGATGTAATTAAAAACTAGAGTTCATTATGTGAACAGTTTAAGAATACTGAGAATGCGACGCTTATTTCACATCAACTAACTTCCAGCGTTCAAACGATATAATCTTTGAATATAAAGAAGATATTAAATGAGTGTAGGTTCAATATGTATATTATTGAACGAGTTGAATAAAATCGTATTATGCAAGCCTCTGGCGAGCATGATATTATTGTATTCAGCGAGTTCAATAAATTCAGTAATGAATCTACACGAATATGATATTCTATTTATCACATAACCAAAACAAAGACTTTTTTACAGTGCAAAGAATCATTTTAATTGATAATAGTTATAGTTTATAGTATAACGGTCTTTACACCATAATGACAAAAACCGTATTGATCAAATTAGCATTGTTTTTTTATATTCCGAAATAACATATCAAATCCATCTGGTACTTTATTTAGCCTCGTCCAAAAATTTACACCAATTCCATATAGCATTGGACGTAATAAAATGCTGTCAAAATGTTAAAAGATAAAAACTTATTACACAGCTGCAAAATCTATATTGGACTCGGCTAGTACATCATCCAATATATAAAAATAAAATGTATTTGTATCATAGTTTGGGGACATTTCTGTTGAAAGTGTCAGAGATAAATCGTATAGATATACATGTACATGCACAGTGCGTTAACAGAAGTGCAGGTATTAGTTACCCGCACTCCAGAGCATGCCCATTGATTGACTCATTTTTGCTAGGGTTTACTTATTCTGTGACGGCAGAGAAAGGAAAAGCGACAGAAATGTCATATTCAGATTTTGAATTAAGGTCATACATCAATATTATTGATTAAGCATTACTGATAAGTTTCACAGAACAGATTAAAGACTTAAGCATACAGTTCATCGTCATAACATACAATAATACACACAAATCATATAAATTATAAATAAACTTAAATACAAATATTTGTTTAAATTCAACAGTTGAGAGTGATCTGAGTAAGCATCTTATTAGAGTACATAATATTATATCTTTCATAGAAATATTATGACATTGTTATAATAAAAACAAAAAGGATTTATATAAGTTATTTAATTGGCCAGTCCTCCGTCTAAAGCATTTAATACAATAAATTGCAAGATTATATAGAGTCTTTTTACATTTTGAATTTAGCAGTTCTATAAATTTAAACATACTTGGATGTGTATAATAGAATTTAGGAATATATTTTCTCCTGTTTTCATGATTTAAAGGGCAAACTAAAACAAAGTGGAATTCGTCCTCGATATCATTTGAATTGCAAATTACACAATAACGTCGATTTCTTTCAATATTGTTATGTCGACCAGTTTCAATATTCAGGTTGTGTGAATTTAGTCTTAATCTAGCAATAGCATTTCTGCATCTAGGAATATCAACAATAGGTTTTTTTTATCGATTTTGTTTCACAACTACATGTATAGTCTAAATCAACATCGTTGTTTTGAATGACTGAACCCTTAGTTCAGCGAATAAATATGTAAATTATATAAATGTAAATGTATAGTGAAAATGTTTATGCTTACGATTATGCGAACTCTACAAACCACTTTCTATAGCTAAATTTATACGCCAATTTTTAAGTTTCTGTTGTATTTTGTTTCGGCAAAAACAACATTCACGTACACGAACATGTATATGTATGAATTTATATGACACAGACATGTAATGTACATATATGTATGCTGTCAAATTCATTTAATAAAATATATGTATATTTTACCTCCGTAAGTTTTGCTAGACAGTGGTAATTCATTTAGCATTACGTTTAAAGTTGAACATCTTTTTTGTTTTGATAGTTATTTTCAATGATGACATACAATGTTTTGTAAACGTTCTTCACTTGCACATGTTATTTTATATGTATGATTTACACCGTCTTGTCATTTATCATGTGTCTGTTTATCCTCATAGACCATTTGGAATATCTAAAATAAACTTATCAAACTTATATATTTTACATTTGTGTACTCGTGCAGTAGGATTAACTATTGTGTACCCATCAATGTATAATTATTTCACACTTGTGAAATTAAATGTCACCAATTTACATCTAACGTTTGCACTAACGTGATTTTCCAATAAAAATCATAATGGACCCAACCTTATCAATTAAGGCTCGTTTCCC